TATGTGGCACATGTTGTTATTGCCTTTTGCTTCTCGCCACTAACCATCACGTCATCCTCTTCCCCCTATACCGTTTGTTTGGGGCCTGTTCCCTTAGAAGCTTTCTCGGGGTCGGCAGGTGCGCTGATATTTAACGCACATTGATAAGGTTGTACAAAATAGACGGACACACCTGCCAACCACCGTTTTTCGATTGTCCGAAGCTTCGCCGTGTAAACAACGGGATGAGAAAAAAAGAGAGAGAAAGAAGGGAAAAAAAAAAAAAAAAAAAAAAAAAAAAAAAAAAAAAAAAAAAAAAAAAAAAAAAAAAAAAAAAAGGCAGCCGGCGTTTCTGCGGCTCCAGTTCCCTTGGAAGCTTTCCTGGGGTCGGCAGGTGCACTGATATTTGACACACATTGATAAGGTTGTAGACAATAGAATGACGCACCTGCCGACCACCATTTTCGGATTGCCTAAAGTTTCGCCGTGTAAACACCGGGATGAGAGAGAGAGAGAGAGAGAGAGAGAGAGAGAGAGAGAGAGAGAGAGAGCAGTCGGCATTTTTCTTTCTACACAAGTTCGTACGTATTGTCTATTGACAATGTTTCCCGATTTTTTTCCTTCTGGTGAAATAAAACAGTTAGCATGTCAAGTAATTGTAAGAGTGTGAGGATAATTAAAAGCGGAATCGATGTCTGTCTTCGTTAGCAAGTTTGTGCACTGATATGGAAATGCAGGACCGTGCAGAAAGCCACATTGTCTCAATTATGAGAGTTATACCTTCAAGCATACGATGACCCATAGAAATCCGTCAGAGTGTGTACTTATTAACGTAAACTTGGTCTTCCTTTCGCACAACAAATCGGCCTGTTCCCCATTGGGGCTTCTTGAAAGATGAAACTATGTGTGCAGTGTCGATTATAGTATCCGTAGAAATTACGCTGCTGAGCTGTCGATCATTTGCTTTCTCCCACTTCACAACCTTGCATGCCGTAGTGCCACAGGGCTCGTTCCTGATTTCTTTATACCAGTGTACATATGCACACTCGAATGTGTGAACCTCTTGACCTCGCTGACCTTGTACGACGAAAAACATACCCACTGATGCATATCACAACTCTCCTTCTACATCTTTAACATATACATCGTTGTGGACAGGCCGGCCGTGAAACCGTGGTGAAGCTCTGGCTATTTGTACCATTGATCCCCTGATACTTCCATTGTCGGTGCATGCAATTGCAAGGTGCGTCCTTGTTTTGATCACTGTCTCGTCCGTGGGGGGATGACATTCGTTTTCGTTGAAAAATATTGATAGCGCAGCTCTGAAATTCTCTCTATACGATATGTTCTCGAGAGTGAATGCATCCTCTTCACTCCTGCCTTCACTAGCGTTTGCGGAGACATTCTGTAAAGAAAACCATTTCAAACGCAGTGTGGTTTTGTTTCTTGCAGACAAGGTGTTTGTTCCACTTGTCTCGGCATTGCTGACAGCAGACCAGTTCTCGGTTTCCCTGATCTTTTGTCGACATATACATTCTGTTTCGTCTTGCAAAGCGATAGATCGACGGACATGGTCTACCATTTGCGTTGTAGTCTGTCTGCGATTTGATGATCGATAAGGATCTTTGCAAAATGTAATATGATGATGCTCCCATATATCGGTTGCGAATATGTCTGGGAGCCCTGACCGCTCCATGCATGCCCTGAACTTGTTGAGATCATGTATCTTTGGCAATTTCCATCGTGATGCTTGATATCGGTCCATGTAAGTTTTCACATAATACATGAAATCACCTAACAATTCGTCAGAGTAATCGAGAGAAGCTACTGTGTGCGACGCCCTCCGAAAAAGTGTCATATAAAATTTCATAAGCTTGCAGAAACACTTCGTCAACCGCTTCCCTGTTTTACCCTTCACTACATTATGAACCACGAACATGACCACGGTCATCACAGAGCGATTCTGCTTCGCCTCGAATCTACCTTCTCTGGAAAATAAATCACTACCTGTGCGTACGGGCAACACAAGTCCTGGATATGTGTTTACTCATCGTTCGCTTATGCACTGGAGCCTTGCATCTAGTTCTGCTAATATTTCCGTGTTAGGAGTTTCGGAAAGTTTTTCTCTTGCAGCCTCACGAAAGGCATCTATCATATGTAAAAATATTCCATGCTCTATCGTGTGCATCCTATCCGGTTGAAGTGTCAGATGATAATCCATCAACGGGTCGTCGCCCTCTGGCCCTTTGTAAACCCCCCACAACCCATTCGCAGAAATGTATCTGTGTAATCCCTACTCTTGAAGACGCTCCTGTGCAGCATGACGGATGTCGGGAGTCGAAGACATTCTGGAGTCATGTATTACTGTTTTGTTAGACTCCTCTGATCTGTTGCTGCTTTCAAAATCAGCGTACATGTCCATGTCTGACTTTGCAACCGTGCAGGTGGGGCAGCGACCAAATTTGACGCCTGCTAGCGCACACCTCTCTGGATAATCTTGGATATAGTTCAGAAGGAAAGGATGCACCGTGATTTCATCGAGGTCGTGTGTACGAACGGCAACACCTTCGTGTGATGCGTCCTTAGCAGCCTGTAAAACCATGGAGAGAGCTTCATGAAATACTACGCTTTTACGTTTTCTTAACTGAGAGCATTGTTGGCCCCAACCTGCGTCTTTTGGCCTATGTGTCAGAACTGGCAAGTACGCTAGAAGTGTGGCCTCTGTTGCCCTATCGGCAATACACATCATGAGTGGATATGCTATTTGTTTCATTCTGCCATCCACATGTGTTTTGTCTGAGTACAACGAAAAAGGAACCACATACCTTTGTTGCCCGCTCATGTCCAACCCCTTCGCTGTGCGCACTGTGTTTTGTACGTGCCTCCACATCGATGTCGTTATGGCACCTGTTATTGAACTATTCTGATCCGTCTCTGCCGGAACTTCTATGACTAATTTGTTCTTTGATCTGAATCCACGTTCTAGTAACGACAAGAATGTCGTCTTCCAATCACGGAACCACAACTTTGCGTGCGCATCTTGTGACCAATCTTCCTTCCTCATATCTACTTCTTGCCATGCGTTAACCCCTATTTGTCGACCTGTCCACTGTAGACGCTCTTTTCCTGTGCGAAAAGGTATCGAGCGAGGATCGAAGTGTGGATTACGGACTATTGCAAGTAACGCATCCATATCTGTGAGAGATAATCTTAGTCCCCCTCTTGCCGATAACATCATTGCTGCTATTTTTCGTACAAAGTCATAATGTATAACATTCTCATTATGACCTGCGACCCCGTTGTGTAATTCATCATCGTCAACATTTTCATTGAAAGGTTCACTTCCTGTCCCCGCGTGGATGGTTCCTTGAATGTCTGCTGGAGTTGGGTCATCATCTCTGTCATCCCCTGTCGGTACCATGTTCTCATCACCACTAGATGATGACGCCAGGTCAATGATACTTGCAGGACATCCTCGTGATTGATGTGAGTTCATAGCTTGTGTACTTCCAAATGCACGGCCGCAATCACATGTCATGTATCCGTGTGCCGCCATCGTCAACTGCAATTCCTCGTACTGCACTTTCTTTGTTACATATTATGTGTGAAACTCCTGGTAATATATGAATGAAAAATATCAACCTTTTCATATCAGTTGTTACTCGTTTACGAAATCGACAATTTTGCAGTGCAGTATTTTTTTTATTTTTTTTTCCCCTGTTATTTCGCAAACATACACATCCATATCTTTATGATGGAGAGCAATTCGGTTTTTCGTCCTCACAGATAAGGCACACAATTCAAGTTCCCGCTCATGTTGCATCTCCTTCCAAGCCTTCACATATGTTTATAGTATCAATTTCGTTGTTTGCAGAACGGGTAAAAAAAAAATAAATCTAAAAAAAATAAAATAAAAAAAATCCCCGTTACTCCTCGCCTCCGCGTGCATTTATGAATACACATGCGATACAGCAAGGACCAGAATCATACGCAGAAGAGAGGTCTGAACCATACCTTGAAGGTGAGGTTACAAGGATCCACTTTCGTCGTATGCGTTGCAGGGTCGGCAGGTGCGCTGTTTTTCGACTTTGAATGACGAGGTTGTAAAAAAGAGAGTGGCGCACCTGCCGACCTCCATGTACAGAAGGAACACAGAGCGGTCCATGGGCGAGCGGGTACGAAGACGAGGAAGATGTGCAATAGCCATCGGATCATGCTTGGAACGAAAGGCATACACGACGAACTCATGTCATGTTGTGCACATCCAAACTCTACGAAAGGGCATGACATACCACATCGTCACTGACCCACAATTCCCATCACATAAGTCAAATAGCAAGGGGAAGATTCGCACATAGAGTTGAGGTCATGCCCATTACGAGGCGACTTTCACTAAAGTTATATCTCACGCATTCCAGATTTATGACGTGTTCGTCGGCGATCCCAAAAAAAAAAAAAAACGAAAAAAAAAAAAAAATGATAAAATAACAAACAGGAAAAACAAAAAAAACCATAAAAATTTACTTTCCAATTACAAACAACTGTGTCCTGCTTATAACAGTGGCGACATGTTTGATGGAAAAAAAAGAAAACAAATAGAAAAAAACAAAAAAACATAAGAGCAAAATACAAACAAAAAACTCGTTTCCCCTCTTCTTGTTTGAAATAATTACCGAATACAACATCGAACTTTTAAACCTCTATTACAAAAAGTTTCTACTAATTTATTATGCGTGATCTTTGTAATCCTTGTCAAGGACAAAATGATCAACTACCCTGCACCGGGCCGTAGATTTCTGGAGATAGTAGACAAGATAGCTGTAGCATTTGACAAACCAGGGTGGACATCATGACCATCAGCACGAGCAACTGCTCCAGCAACTACACAACCCAGGTTATAGCCTCATCCTTCGTATGTACACATAACAGCCTCTTTATTTACCAGCACAAACCATAACTTCCCACCACAGAAAAAGTTATTCCCCGCCTGACATGTTCTCATGAGTGATGAGACTGCTAGTTGCATTAACTTTCCATCGGGGGACGCCGATCCATCAACGATATGTAAAGCGGGATGCGGCTCACTGTAGTGTCTTGCCAACCTCAGCACGGCATGACACCATCTTGCTTCACTACTGTCCTTTGACTCCGGAATCTTGCAAAAGTCCTCGTCGATGTACGCATCTGCAACAAGTTTCTCGTTGAAGATGTCGAAACTTTCCATGTCTACTTGTGCATCAAATGCCTCCTCTCCCTCACCCTGCCGTCTGCCATCAAATGTGCGAAAATGTTGCGACATGATAACAGGGTTTTCTCTGTTGTCACCATCATAAACAAATGACCTCTCAAATTTTCTCTCCACGGCTTTGCTGGGGGTAGGATTCTCTTCCTGGCCAGCGGAATGAGACGAGTTCTGGAGCGTCCACTGCAGGATTAAATCCTCTGCTTTCACATCGTGCTTTGTTACTTTCTCTGAACCGCTATCCCCTCTGAACATGGCCACAGCAAGTTTGGTTTGTTGATGATTACGATCATTACTGTCCTCCTCCTCCTCTACATAGCTCTTCTTACACTCTGCGGCGACGAGATCCCAACCCTGTTGTCGCTTGCGCTGCCTATCAACCTCTGTAGGAGCTGCACATATGGCTTGTGCTGCGCACTCGATTACACAATCTTGAACTAAGGTTGACATTGCATTGAACACAGGACGAGGAACTAAGGAGTATGTCACTGTTTCCCCTCCTGCAAGCACATCTGTGATCACAGGATGGAGGATGCAGTGAATGGCATTTCTATCGCATTTACTTCTCCTGGTCAAATCCATAATTTGATCCAGAAGGAATTACTTAATTTTATCAGCAACAATGACAGACAACTCTGCAAGACAAGCGGGTTGCACACAATTTTTTAAGGGCAACTGCGACAAGGATAACACCTCGGCCGCGCCCGGTTTCAACAGCGTGGCATTGAAGGGTAGCCTCAATTGTGTGACACTTATCTTCGATTGCAGTTTTTTTCTAAACGCGGGTTTTGTGTATATGCCACCCTTTTGGTGTTTATTCATATCGAAATGGTTTCTCCGTGTAAGATTGTATGTCAATCGGTCTGTTGGGGTGGGAAACCGTTGTCCTTTCTAGGAGGGGTGAGTGATGCAGCCTGTCCAGAAAGACGCTTGCATCCTGCATGTTGTCGAGGTTGCGAGCAACGGTTGTATCGATATCGATATGCACATGAAAATAACGAGGAACCCTTTGTCTCAAGTCCTGGAATTTGGCGTCGGAGTTATAATGCACAGAGGGCGTGGCAAACTGCATCACCGTCTCTACCGCAATGATATCATGTGAGACCGACATACCTTCTTCCGCCTGTGAGAAGCAGCTGATTACGAAACGCAGTTATCGTCGTCCAATCTGAAGTTCAACAAACATCGAAAACAATGAAAAAACAAGTTATATATATATATATAATGTAGGACGAGAAAGTTGGCCTATGAGGTCGACTTTTGCCTGCGTACACACGCATGTGTGAGCAGTCATGCGTCGTCCCCAGACAGGGTGTCGGGCAGGGACAGTGCAAAGCAAAAAAAAAAAAAAAAAAAAAAAATTATTATCACGAATATACCAAATAATTACGGGGGGAAAAAAAAAACTTGTTGTCATCCTTTATGTCACACATCGATTGCAAACTACCTAGTTCTGTATGTCCTCTAATATAAAAAAAATAAATTAATTAATTTATTAAAATACCGAATATATATTCTCACCAACAATAACCTTCAATTGCATACCCCCCCTCTCTCCCCCCCTCCCCCCCCCGTTCATGGCAAGGAGAACCACATACAAAAGAGACATTACTTGTGAAGAATTCAATAAAAGTAATTCGAACAAAATTTGAAGGGTGCCGGGGAGACCACCTCCAGCACTTTGAGGTGACCTCCATACGAACAGATAAGTACTCACTCATCGGGTCAAGAAACTCACAATAACCTTAACGCACACGACACATCGACAAGGGAACGAAAACATAGATCAAAGGTTTGCGTCGGACGTCATAGTTGAGGTTAAATGGGCGAAAAGTTGTGCAAAAGAGAACGGCGCATCTGCCGCCCACAACGATAGAATCCTATGTACTGCACCATTCGGCGTCATCGGTTGCTCCTGTCTCAACGGATGCTGACTCACTTGCGACCTGGTAGTTGAGGGCAAATGGACCCACTTCCCTTTGTAAGGAACCCGGGTCGGCAGGTGCGCTGTCTTCTGACGTGCAAGGGGAAGGTTGTGCAGAATAGAACGGCRCACCTGCCGACCACAACGATGCAATCCTATTTACTGCACCTTTCGCCCGTCATCGCTAGGTCCCGTCTCAACGAATGCTGACTCACCTGCGAAGAGGTAGTTGACGGCGAATGGGTCCACTTCCCTTTACAAGGAACCCGGGTCGGCAGGTGCGCTGTCTTTTGACGTGCAAGCGAAAGGTTGTGCATAAGAGAACGACGCACCTGCCGACCACTACGATATAATCCTAGTCACTGCACACCGGGCCGTCATATATGGGTTATAGCTCAACGGATAGTGACTCGCTTGCAACCTTGCAGTTGAGGGTTAATGGACCCGCTTCCCTTTGCCTGTATCGCGGGTCGGCAGGTGCGCTGTCTTTTGACGTGCAAGCGAAAGGTTGTGCAAAAGAGAACGGCGCACCTGCTGACCACTACGACATAATCCTGTTTACTGCACCTTTCGCCTCATAAAACTTGTTGTCATCCTTCATGTCAGACATCGATTGCAAACGACCTATTTCTGTATGTCCTCTAATATAAAGAAAAAAAAATAATAAAAAAATAAATAAATAGAGAATATATATTCTCACCAACGATAACCTGCAATTGCATACCCCCCCCTCTCTCCCCCCCTCCCCCCTTCCGGGCAAGAAGAACCACATTCAAAAGAGACATTACTTGTGAAGAATTCAATAAAAGCAATTCGAACAAAATTCGAAGGGTGCCGGGGAGACCACCTCCAGCACTTTGAGACGACCTGACATACACCCTTTGCTGTACCGAAGCGTGAGCACTTACGATGAGGACAATGCTACATAACAGTATTGCAGCAAAAATAGAAAGTGCCTGGCATTTCATCGACTGCCAATTCACAGAACCGAAAATCTGATTTCCACATTTATGGCATGAAGTCGTACTGAATTTTACAAGCAGCAATGCACCAATGTCACACTGACCAAGATTCATAACACTGAATCCAAGTGATGATGATAGCGATGGACATAACATTTCGTGCCATGAGTATCCACATTCTATCCGACCACGGCGGTCCGCGGCCAAATACGGCCTACCCTGCTACATTCCACTTCTACGTGGGCATTGCAACTCCATGGCTTCAGCAGCCATCGAAGTACTCGAATATTATCACCATTGCCAATACCCGGGACGAGCCCTGAGTTCACCATAACCATCTTTTCACCTTATCCCTCCTCTTCACGTCCCTTACAGTCCCGTCGATATACGCGAACACCCATTTTGCGTTCATTCTTGTTCCTACCACCACCCAACTGTGTGCTAGCACCTGCACTTAAACCACCAGTACATCTACGCCTCTGAGGTTTAAGGAGTATCCTACTTTCAGAAGTGTCAGGAGGTTGGGCCTACCGTTCATAAAAGGGATCGGCGGCATCGGTGTGCTATAGGCCTGCCGACTTTGTGGAGCCTTTTCAGTGACAGTCCTTGCAGATGTAGTGGTGCTTCAAGATACTTCCGATGAAAAAAAAAAAAAAAAAAAAAAAACTATTAAAACAC